CTGTTACACTGTCATTCATCAAATAAGCATCTGCAAACAGGCCCAGAACGGAGCATATATCAGTCCTTGAATGAAGATACAAGAGATCAAAGTTTATATGTGCGTATCGAATATACTAAGTGACAGAAAAAAGAACACCCACAAATAATGTTTTTTTTACAATTGTTTGTATACACTTATAAGTACTTACTAAAAATACTGTAGAAATGTATCTCGATAAATTTCACGAAAGAAGGCACTCAAGTGAATCCATTATCTTATAGTTGGCTCGAAATTTGAATGAATATGATTCATTCAAAAAGCCTGAAACTTCTCGAAAAAAATCTTTAGTGGGAACTCAGAATAGTGTTTTACAAGCATTTGCTGAGATCTCTGAGACATCAACTAGGCAAATTTAGAAAAATGTAGAAGTAGCCAAATCCACAGCCCAATTTATTTTGCGTAAAAATACATATCACTCCTATAAATTCAAGATTTACCAAGGAGTCAGACCAGGGGATAGCGAACGGCGCCAGCATGTTTGTGTGTTGTACACTCGAACGTGTGAAGAAAAATTTAATTTCCGTTCAAAAATAATATCGTCCGACGAGAGTAAGTTCCATCAGATTTTTGGCATTTCCTAAAATCCAGAAAAAATAAAAACGGTTTAGCCAAATTTTATTTTTTCCCAAATATCTCATTAAGCCATGAAATGTTTACAAGTTTCTCAAAGGCATGTAAATACGCCCCAAACAACCCAACTTTGTCCTAATTTAACCTAAGCTGTATCTCCCACAGGTGTTGAGATCCCCATACAGAGGATCCTTATGTTAGACCCGGTATAATGAGAATTATGTGGTTCCCTCACCTCCTGAAGGTAACACACGGGTCATGTGGTCTCGATGAACACCAAAGGTGACCGGCGTCTATAAACAATTGCCACCGATACCATCATTCTAACAGTGCGGTGCAGATGCGCTTGCATAGACAAGTGAGAATCTCGTCTTTCACCTCATAACCTTCCCACTCGTGCACGACCATCATGCATCCCCAAGCCAGGGATGCTGGCGGCTCAGTTTTTCAGATCCATCTCACTTTTACTCACTTTTCATTGAAAACATTGACTTTTCTCACTATTGTCGCTCACGCTGTCTCCGTTCTTTGAAGTCCCACGCAATTAAATGAGAATTTTTTTTTATAAAAATTAACTATGACTAATTTGTTCATGTACAGGGTTTTCCCCAAGCTGGGCCAATATGTATTACATAAGAAATGACTAGGATTACTTGAAGGGATTTCAATATAAATTGCATTAACAGTGGCACTTTTTAAAAGCTTTGTACAAGAAACTGTATGTTAGTTCGTTAGTATGCATGTGTGGGACAAATACTGAAACTGGATTTTGAACCAATAAACCTTACTTAACTGCCGCCATTTGAATCTAATATGGCGTATGCTACATAATGGTAATTTATCCTTTCCATAGTATATGCTATGAGTAGCATATGAAAGAGGTTGATGATAGAAACACAATAAGCAAACTGACGTCATTATAAATCCAATATAACGGAGGCTGCAGTTTGGCGATTTATAATTTCCATAGTCGTTGTAACAAATAGATTATTACTGGTTGTCCTTTTTTTATACATCTCTTAGTATATCTTAGTGTACAAAATAGGTTCAGAATGACTTCTTCCAGGTAAAATGCAAAAATCTAATGTAATCCAGACTGTGTTTAATTATTAGCCCAATACGCAATTATCCAATTTTCACAGATTTTCCACATTTCTCAGTGGCGTATTGTGTAAACTAATATTTTTAGATGGTCCCATGGGGAATAAACTCAGGCTCAACAAAAAGTGGCCTTGTCGCATTTGAGAGATTTTGGCAGTCTACAACATTGAGTTTTGAATTATCTCTCGGGGTACCAGTTGTTTTGAACATATTTATAAATTAAGAACTCTCACATACAGCAAATGAAAAAGAAATCTGTACTTTGGAAATGAAGAATCTTTCCAGAAATATAGCTTTGTCACAGGAAAACGTCCATTTCTACTTTATTTGGATATGTTCAATACCTTAAACAAAGGTATCCAGAACGTCAGTGATTTTTTATAAGCCAGTATCGTTTGGAAGAATCGCAATAAAATATAACAATTTTCTTTATTTCAAATATCAAAGAATAATTTGCTTGGTTTATATAGTTGTTTCAGGATTATAATGTGATACGTGTATAGTGTCTAGCTTTATTTGAAACTTGAGAGCATGAAAGCACATTTGCTATATTATATCAGCCAGACAAGGTGGAAATGTATTAGGTATTGTACATGAAATTATACTGAGTAGCCTTGTTTTGTTTGGGTGAATACGGTAACTGTTTCAATATATTACATTTAGCTGTCGATACTTCGTGTACATTCTAATTCCCACGCACCAGGAGACTAGATTGTCATTATTGATAATTGCTAATAGCAAATAGCAAGTAGTAGTACATATGACCTACATGACGAACTAATTTGGTTACAATCAGCGAACTTTTCCAGTTTACAGTGTCCAATTCCTAAGCCTCGCGGATATCCCAATGAGTTTTGGTTTTCTATCCATATCCAGCATTCGACAAAAAAATTTACTAATTCTGTGACAAAAATATGCTATACGAAAATTGTCAGGAGCGTCTTCTTGGCTGATACGGTCATCAGAACGCCTCATGAAAATCAAATATCTGGTTTTCTCTTTGTTTGATTCCGCGGAAAAATTTGCTAATTCTGTGACAAAAATATTGTCTACAAAAATTGTCCGGAATGTTTTCTTTGCTGATATAGTCATCAGAATCTGAAGAAGAAAAAATGAAATTGTGCATCATTAGATTAGCTCGTGATGATGATATAATCAAGTGCAACAAAATGGAATTCAACCAAGAAAAAACTGCCATTTATAAAAAAATCACCATACAGTAGTCATAGTCAAAGTCTCTTGGGAGATTAGTTGATCCGTATACACAATGCACGTGTTGTACGCTTATTCGTTTGGCCATTATCACCAAATCTAGTTTAAAGTATATTTTTGAATGTTGAACCTTGAGAGGAACTAGGTTACAAAACGTATATTTCAACTTTTCGATAAAATTTTACAAAATACGAAAAATCTGCTCCAGTTGAAGAAGGTAACGGCTCTTCGTACGCCACTGCTAGGAGGCATGTCTTTGGATGAATGTACTCGGATCTCAGTACCATGAAGCTGATCCCCTTTAATTTCACAAAGGTATAACTTGAGGTTATTCATTCGGTGTTTCGGTAAACATGGTCATACGTTTTTCACATATTTGCGACAGACAGAAGATGTTTCTACTTATATCTTACCTGCAGCGGATCCTTAATGAAAAACTTATGTTTTATGTATACTTTGCTGTAGGTATAGGCAAAGGCCGAGCCCTTAATCTGTATTAGTTTTTAATCACGATTTCCTGGCCAAACAGTTTGCTGAAGCGCTCAACAATTCTACGTACAAGTTACGCACTGCCCAGTGCAAGCTTCAAGCATTTTATTTACTTTTGTACCATACTTCCTTCATCTTGAGTTTCCACCATTACATGGATGACGGATTCTACCGCCTCATTCGATGTCGATCTGCTTCTGGTTTTTGTTTCAGCACATCCTTATATCGATGCAGCAATAGTACTACATGGCAAGTTTTTGTTGCATTTTTGTATTCAGCAGCTGGTCCACTGCCGCACTCACAACATGTTGTAGTCGTGTATTCAGCTGTCGATCAACGACATCCTAAGGTTCGGTCATTACAAGCCCGAAGTAAGCTACTGCCCCACTCACAACATTTCTGTGACATTCACAATGCGACAATAATTCTGAAGGGCGTATGTATGCCGCCAAATGTCCGCAGTATGTCACTGCATCGCTCAGAACTTCTCTGTGATATCCACTATGCTGAAACAATGTTGTATGAGGCGACGATGTTGAAATCGTATATTCCGCAGCCGGTCGATTACACCGCCTTCATATCCATCCAGAATACTTAATTTGCGTCACAACATCTGTGAGACAGTCACTATGCGACGATGTTGCACACGTGTGTTCAGCTGTTAGTCAACAACACGCACCACCTTCTCCGTTTTGAATTTACTTACTACATGCCCCAAGTCGGTAGCTGCCTCGCGCACATCTCACTGTCACTCACAATGTGACAATAATGCAGCGTACAGCAACGATGTTGCACTGATTTATTCAGCTGTCCATTCCGAATCCTATGGTTTTGTCATTACATTGTCGAAGTACGCCTCCCTTACAACATCTCTGTGACATTCGCTATATGGCAATAATGCAGCATGCAGAAACGATGTTGCACTCGTGTATTCAGCTGTCGATCAACTACAATCAACAGCTTCTCCTCCATCCTTAATTCTAAAGCTTCATCATTACATGTCGGAAGTACGCCACTGCCTCGCTCACATCTCTCTGATATTCACTATGCGACAACAAATCTATATGCGACAATGTTCAAATCGTATATTCAGCTGTCAGTAGATTAGATCGCCTTTTTATCCATCCCGAATATTAAAGTTGTGTCACAACATCTCTGTGACATTGTCTATGCGGCAAAGCTATATGCCGTAACGATGTTGCACTAGTGTATTCAGCTGTCTATCAGCTACACGCAGCTGCTTCTTCACCATCCCGAATCCTATGGTTACGTCATTGCTTCATCCAGGTACGCCACTGCTTCTGTCAGAACGTCTCTGTGATATTCATATGAGGCAACTATGCTGTATGCCGCGACGATGTTGCACTCGTGTCTTCAGCTGTCGGCCAACTGCACGAAGCAGCTTCTTCTCCATTGCGAATTCTACGGTTCCCTCATTACATGTCCGAAGTACGCCACTGTCTCGCTTAGTACATCTGTGTGACATTCACTATGCGGCAACAATGCTGCATGCAGCAACGATGTTGCACTCGTCTACTCAGCTGCCGTTGACGACACGCAACGCAGTTACGACACAGAGGGCGATACCGATTTTCAGCCACTCGGCACGCGGCTTGTCTCGTATATGTATCGACTGAATTTCAGTCGGATCGTTGCTATGTCATAAGCTGTTTCTCGTGTTTGCATTCTTTGTCGCACAAGAGATGTCGTTCGAGATAAAATTAGTGCAGGAGATTGAAAAATATGAGCATCTTTACAACTCTAAGCTGGCTGAACACTCAAGGAAGGACCTTGTTGAGCAATCGTGGGAGGATATTTCACATAAAGTGAATCATACGGGTAAGAGAGAAATATATGGTATATTATAAAGTTTTTTTTATCAGTACAGCATCCGGTCCGGTTTTGTAAACGCCGATTAATTTTCAAGTTGAGTAGTTCTATATTCACTATCAATTACTTGTAAATCGACTTCTGGTTGACATTTTGATGATTCGACAAATCTGCTTCTGAGGATCTAAGCGCCTTGTGATGACACCCGTAACAAGTCTCGGCATCCATTCCGATATCAAATGAGATGTATATTCTAGAAGACATTAAGTTACTGACCAAATTAACAATGTTTTGTCAACAGCACGGCCCGTGGGTGCCGGTATTCCTCAGCGTTCGGCCTTGGGACCCATCCTTCATCCACTTTATATACATGACGTCCCTTGCTCCAGCGACTATGAAGTCTATCTCTATGCTGACGACACTGCACCTGTTAAAAAAAAGTTAATAATTCGAATACGCATCTATTGTACTAAAAAACTGCGTGGTGTACCATCAGAGATATAAGTGAATGGAACTGGCATACCTTGGGGCAATATGTGTTGACCTGGCAGAAACCTACTAATATTTTAAAACTTCGTATCGGCAGCATTATCCTTTGTTGTACAGAAATACAAAATTAAGTTTGATCAACAAGAGTCGGTTGTATAAAATGATCATAAGTTCCGACATAGCCAACTGATGCCACAGTCAGGCAATCAATGTTAGGCATTACAGTTTAACTAGAATTTTCTAGTGCTCGGATTAAAATTAGCTACCGTTTTAGGGCAGGCCTGACATTTAACAACGCGTTTTGAGAGTTAACTTTTGATTAGCTCTGAAGTTACATTTAACCTGCTATTGAAGAGCTGCGTCTTTGATCCGACTTTTCAACCGCAGCTCAACTTTCAAGTTGAACAACTGTAACTTGGAAGTTAATCGCCAGTTACATATAAATTCGTTTCTGGTTAACAAACTCATAATGGTTTATGCGGAAAATATCACTGTTAACCAGAAAATGGCATCAAGTAGGTTGACTCTGCACTTCCTACGCAACACCTTCATCAGTTCATAAAGAATTAAGTTTAGCACCAGTTAAGCCCCCTTATCGGAGGTAAAAAGGATAGGATAAAACGCTAGATGTACCGAAAAGAAACACCGCACCAGTAGCGACTGATTTGTTATTTTGATCTCTTCCTCTTCGGTACTAGACTATAACAGTAAAGCTGCAGTTATGCTGCGATTAAAAACTGGGCCACAGATGGAAAGTTGACCATCGTGATTAAAAATTAACTCAGTGAGGGATTTAACAAAGTACGAGCTTCTATATTTATAAAATGACAGTATTGAGTTAGTACAGGGGCAATCTGCTTAATGTCGCTACTTCTATTGCTCTTACAAAAATATATTTTTTGCAGTTCCTGAATGCAAGGAGAAATGGCGAAACATAAGGTGCTCGTTTCTCAGAAGCTTGAAAGCGGCACCAATGGGATCAAAACCGAAAAAGCCGTATTATTTAAAAGAGTATCTGCATTTCATTTTACCTTACCTCAAACCATACATCAATTCTGGCAAAACCAACAGTATTCAAACTAAGCTGGAAAATACAGCAGCGGACTCAGAATTCAGTATTCACAGTGAAGATTTGCAAATTGATGATTACGTTGAGAATGAAGATACTTTTGTTGACACTGTAAGAACGTCTGCTTTAATCGATGAAGACGATGGGAGTATAGATCTTTTCACGTCATCTGACCGAAAGCGGAGGCGCTCAATGACAGAAGTTGAGCAAAGTATTGTTAACTATTTGGACAGTAAGAGAAAGAAAATTGAAAACAATAGCAAGGAAACTGCAAAAAGCGAGGACTGTGATGCTGCACGTTACTTTTTATTAAGTTTATTACCTGATATGGCGAGTATGACACATGCGCAGCAAAGATTTTTTAGGATCAAGGTAATGACTCTTATAGACGAAATCCACTCAAATTTTGAACAGTGCAAATCTAACCATTTGAATGCTTCTACTATTGTACAGAAATGATGAGCTTCATAGATCCAAACGGGATACAAAACATCTTCGATGTCATATTTGGTGATATCAATACTATCTACTTACTTTTAAACATAATTTTCACGTACAAATTGCAACAAACTTTGAATAATCATTATTATACTTGCTTGTACATTCCTAGAAATAAACTGCATTTAATAAAGCTGCAAAGGTATTTTTAGGTCTTACTTTTTTGGTTATGGATTTACCTCAGGGCGATAAAATGCAGTGCCTACTCTCTTCGAAATTTCGTATTATGTGCAGGAATCACGAAAACTTTTCGTGTTTACTTCTTGTTAGACAACGCCTTCAAAATCTGGTAACTAGTAACATAGTAATGTGTGTGTACTTTGTCCACTTAGAGACTAATCCGGATTGTATCTGTAACAATCGCGTTTAATAAGCGTTATAAAAGCAGGATATTGAGTCAAGCCTTTAAGTTTACATTGTATTGTTTATCGCCAAAATTGCGTAGTTTTATGGCATACTTATGACTCCTAGGCCTACCGTTGCCTACGAAAGTGACAACGTTGAATTAAGAACGCCCAATGCGCTGTCTTATTTCAATAGCCCTACCTCCTGGGTAGAGGGCAGTTGCTTTCGTTTGTTCTCCGGAGACTCTTGGTTAAGCGTAGACCATGCTGGTTAGTAGCCAAAAAGCACAAAACATCTGTCCATGTTAGCTCTCTTTGATCGGACGGAAAGATCTACCTTCATTAAGTATGTAGCGCTCTTTGTAATTGTGCAAGAAGTAGCCATGTCCTAGAATCATCTAACATTAAATTTATCTGAAAACACTCGCACATTTAAAGAAATAGAGTAAAAATACGAATTTAATGACGGAGCTGTAAAAAATTGATTTATGTCAAGTCTACTTGTAGCCATGCACTTTTTCGTCCTGACGGTGGCTTGCTCCTTCTGCCTAGTCTGAATTCGGTGATTAAAATAGCAGTGGGTACCAGTGTGGAAACGATCGAGAAATCGAGTTATCCCGAAAACGAGCAATGGGTGGTTGAAAGAGACTTAAAGCAGCATTATCAAAGAAAAGCAAGAAACTCTTTAGAATGATGGAATTATTTATCAGAGTTAGAGCAGATAAAACCAAAACTGATGGTAAGATGAAGAAAATTAATATTTACTAGTTAAAGAATCAATCAGAAGATGTGCCACTTTTGAATAGAGAATTATAATGACCCTAATGCATCATTTGAATTACCTGTGTTAAGCTACAATAAACCCATTCAGGTGCAATAACATCCTTATACTAACTCTATCAATATTTGCAGTATGTGGTTGAAGAAATAAATGCGTCCAGCTGTAAAGTAATTTGCACATATCGGACAAGGGCAGTCCTTTCTTTTATCTATGGCTATTATCCATTATGTACTGTAATCGTGCACACAACTTCTTACAGCACCACCTGTATTAACCCTTTACAGCCCTCTGGAAATGGGCCAATAAAATATTCCAGCTGGTAGGAACAGCAGGTAAAGTCACACGCACCTTATAGAAACGCTCAATTTGGGATGTAAGACTTTGTACTAAGCACTACACTGGCTGTTTTGCTTGAATTCTATCGAATAATGGGACGTTCTAGCTGATCACTCATTTGAACCAAAAAATACTGTCATAATTCTTCTTTATGAGAACCTTTATTTTGCTATAGATAAACCGGAAAAAAACGGAATTTTTCCAAAATTGATTTAATTTTTTCCTGATTTTATTTGTACTGGGATTTCAAAATAAATTGCACATTAACATTCCCAATTTTGCTCTTTTACAAAATGTCATAATGAGAATTTTTATATGAAGTTTCCCCTCTTGTCCCCCAACATCAACTTGTTTTCCTCATGGACACCATATTGGATGCTTGCACAGAGGAATAGGACTCCGAATTGTGAACACTCTTTGAGAATTCCAACCGCTCGTGTTGGCGAAACGTCAAATAAAAGTATATTACGCCGTTCTAAACTACCCGAAAACCCACCAAATAACAATACTTGAAGGCTTCGCGTCAACAGTCCAACACGTTGCGCTTGCAGTAAAAGTGACACACCCCATCCAACTCCTCGATCGTTGCATTGCTGCCTTTACGGCCTGTACTTTCAGTAAACATGTCGGTATTGATTATTTGTTAGTGTAAGCTGAAAGCTCGTTTGTGTTTCTGAATTTGCTGCTGCTTCGGGCTTTCGGTTCACCTTCACATTGTGAGTAGACACCATCACACTGCGCTGATCGGGATGTGAATTGTTCAGCTTAGTTGGTTTCAATTCTAACAAATTCGGTCAAGCTTAAATTGGTTATGTGCTCTTATAGAATGAACATTAGAGTACTATGATAGATCATAACAAATATTCGTTATTTTTTTTTACTTCTACCTGCTACTCGAATTCGCAAGGAAGTAACAGCGAAAATTTTTATAAACGCAATAATATATGTTTTTTATGTCATCATTTCCCTCATTTCCGTCGGTCTGTATATCTGTCTGTAGGTCTGTCCGCTAACTCTTTACCGGTTCGTAATTTGAAGGTACTGCTCAGTTTTTGATGAAATTTTGACACAAGGCTATACCAAGGACAACGACAACGATGCAATTTAATTTTTCTGACGTTTCCACCGTCCTTCCACGTTTTTAAGAATTTTTTTGAGGGACAAAACATGTGGGCGTGATAGGGGGTGGGGGAGGGTGTGTGTTAGTTTACTGGCATCAGTATATCTACTTATATCATTCTTACCTCGGTAATTCTCAGTTCTACATGTTATTAGAACCATTACGATGAAATATGTCCAACATTCCGTCGAGTGCACATTATGAAGTTACCGCGAGTGTCTACCTGAACGCGATAAACTCATAGACTACCGTATGGCTTTTGCCAATGGTCATTGATTCATGAGGCTTATTAATCTTTTTTCTTGTAATTTGGTTGTAAAATGATTATTGTTACCCCAGATATCATCAATTGTACTATTAAAAGGCATTATTCAGGGCATGCTAATAAACCTATCGGTGTTTCATAAAATAAATAACTATATGCTCATAGTATCCATCATGATTGAAAGATAAGTTCGGGAGGCAATATTCTTAACTAACTATTATACTTGTAATAACCAATTTTCATTCAAATTAGTCAATCATGTAACTGAACACTCGACTGTATACAGTGTTTGGACGCAAAATAAGTAACTTTTAGGTATTTTGGTTGGTAGTCTAGGGGATAGCAGTATTAACAGCCTAACCCTCATATTCATATTAATATTGTAAATGTGTTTATGCGTGTACCTTCCGGTTAAACGTTTTTGAAAATCCTTCCCTGAAGAGGTGGAGTAGAGATTAACAGTTTTCCAAAATTTTGTTGGGAATTAAAAACTATTAAGTGCTATGGGTTTGTTTGTGCCAGAGAAATGCGGAAGCTTCTGTATTTGAATCACTGAACTGTAGGAGTTGGGGGAGAAGTTTGGGAGTTGGACGTATACCTCCAGTACTCAGCCATTGGGGTGGAAGAACTCTGAACTGCAGCATACACTACATTACCCCGGTATACGTACAGATGCAAGTCCCCTTGTATACTGCATAGCCACGCGATAGCAATGTATCGGGAACAGTCTCCGTAAAGAACAGCCCAGAAATAAACTTGTTACGTAAGAATGTTCACTTTGTTCCATCTTAAGAGAAGAACATATTTTTCTCGCCGACTGACATAGGAAGTAAAAATGACGATCGCTCCGGTAGCGCTTAAAGTGATCATGTGCGTTCAGCAGAGAATAAGCCATCGTTACAGTAGCTCTACGTTGTGATGAACGGCACCATTGCTACACATTTTTGTTATTTCCTTCCTATTTTCATATGCTGCCATCAAATGTTGAATAGTCGCAAAAGCTGGCTATCCTAAAAGATTCTCTTCTGACCCTTTGCTCTCGTTCTTCCTTCTCTCCTTTCCTTCCCATGTTTCCTTAAATTGTGTGTTTCTGGGTTACCAGACCTGAGAGACTTATAAACTGACACTGGACTGAAGAGCTAAGGTCCGACGGACCGCTCTGACAACCGACGATGACTTGAACAATTTTTGTCAGTCAGTCTTGACTGATTTTATAGCCCTTCTGATGAGAAACTGACAAGTATATGCGTAGATATTCAGACAACATTGCAAAGATTGCAATAGCCAAGATATATAGTTGGGCCATATGCTGCATTATGGTCACGATGACTTGATTATAATTGTCATAGTTAAAGCCAAATATTACCTGTTTAGATGCTTGATTACATAAGGCGAAGATTTTCAAGTCTCCGTCACGTTTGCATTGAATTCAATGAAGTTACGAAAAAGCCAGTAACATTTGCCCCTTGACACCCTGTAGTTCTAATGGGACGAAAAATAAAGCAACTTAGATAATAGAAGTGATAGGCTGGTTATTCATTTTACTGATCTGAATCACTGCATCAGTATGCTTGGGCAACAATCAGCCATGAAGACTAGAGATAGGAGGTTAAACGATAATGTCAGTTGATACACTGCGTAACAAGCTAACTTCAGCTGCTGCGCATATAGCATCTCTCATGTGTGCAATAGCAGAAAATGAATTTCAAGTTCTGCACATGTGCATCTCTCTCTGTTGCTACAATCACGACCACAAACATATATACTGAAGAAGGTTTTAATTCCATGCTATTCAATGGCAACACGGTGACTTGTATGGTTGTCAGCGGCCATTTCTTGATTGTGCGACATTGTTGCCAGCTTGTGCATTAATATCCCGCAACGTTTATAAATCTGAGATTGTTATATATATATATATATATATCAAGAGATAACTGTTACCACAGCCCCCTGAGGGCACCCATGTTATTGTTCAATAACAATACTTGGGTTGATTTCATTAAAATTATAGTGAGCTTACATATCAACCCTACTGCTCGGGACAATAGCTGATTTAAAACGAAGTTGAAAACTAACTTGGACAAATAGCAGTACACATCACCATTAGTTATATATACTAAGTGACATATAAATCCGAACACCCAGTTTAAATGGTTTTATTTTAATAAAATTTTGTATATATAATAAGTACTTAATGAAGCATAATAAGTAAATGATAAAAATTTCAAATGATTGCACTGCTTTAAAGCCCTTTGACCTTTAATAATGTGTGGATTGCACCCTGATGTGCTACGCC